AACTGGGAGGAGAGGAGGAGGAGGAGGGAAGTACACTGGAATGGAGAAGATGGAAACTAACCTTCAGTTTTGAGGACTCAAGGGCTAGCATGGAGAAAAACAGTAGCAGAGCCTTGCTGGTCAAATATAAAAAGGAGAAGAGGGTGCAGATATGTGTGGGACACAGGTTAGGGATGATAAAAACAAGGTAGACAGGACCAAAGAAGTGCTAAGAGGGTCTCGATGCACAGTTCATCGCTTATAATCTTCTGCCAGCAGTTCACCGACAGCTGATCCACTAATAATCCTCCTGCTAATGGATATAGAAGAAAATACCCCACTAGTGTTGTTTCAGAAATATTGTCCTGCTGACAACTGATGTAGAACCATGCTGACAACTTGCCCATTTTATTAGTGACAGAAAGACCTCAGGGTTAGTGCTTGGTGACACTGTTTACTTAAGGCGGTGTAGGAGACTGGCTCATAGTGTACAGCATCAGCCTTTGCAACATGACACAGCACAGTTCCAGGTTTTGGCTTTTCCACCCTGGTGATTCAGCTTCACGCAATGTCTTGGAGTTTTGCAAGACTACAGGGAACTAAATTCATGCAGGATATGGTTGAAAACTTTGCCCGGTAAAACGATGTCAAAGCCAAAATGAAATGTGTATGAACCTTAAATACCTGCTTCTGGTACTTCATCAGCCACATAGAGAGAAGAGGAAAAAGTCACTCCAGTAGGAAGAAAATACAAAAGCACTGGACACGTGGTGTCCTTGTTCCTTTCCTGTACCAACAGGATGAAGGACAGCTTTTCCCTATCAAGAGCTATAGCTTAAAGTTATTTCCAATGTCCCTGTTCTAGAAGTACCCAGCCCCAAAACAAATGTGGCCTTCTCTGACCTAGAGTTCAGCTAAACATTAAGGATCTAGGGCTTTGAAAGAGGGGAAATAACTCTATGGGTTTTTTTGATCCTCCTACTTGTGAGGAAACAGAAGCTGTTTCCTCGTTATCGTGTTGCAAAACTGCATCTGGGCTCACATTTACTTCCAGAATCTCTTCTGCTTATCCGCTATGTTTTATTGCTTGTTAGTCAGGATGACTATCACCCCTTAATAGCTAGGGAAAAGGCTTGGTAAAGGTCTGCTGTGCTTGGCTTCAAAGAGTGTGGAAGCCTGGGCCAAGTGTCCTGGCGCTGCCACGCGTAGGGGAGAGCTGCGGGGAGAAGAGAATTAAAACAGACAATTTGCTGAGGAAAGAGCTGCTACATCTAGTTAGTAGGGAAGCATCATGAACAGAGGTGGTGTAAAGCTGGAATTATTTGTCTGGGTTGCAAGAAGGAACTTGAATCTGCTTTGAATTCCATCCAAATTGTGAATATATTTTGGAAGACTGAGTAGAGACAGGTGGTAAAGGAAGAGGTGGTTCAGGTTTTTGTCACTGGTTATAAAAGGGGTGATCAAGGTCTGTTCTTATTTCCCTTCTCCCATCTAGGTTAGATGGGAATGCCTCACTCACCAGGTTATAAACTGTATGTACCACATCCCCCACCTCTGGCTTTTGTTCACACCAAAGAAGCATGACCACGTGTTCAGGTATTTGTTATTTGCCCCAAAGAGTAGATTTGGGGTACTGGTCCAGGCTTCCAGAATTGCTAGATCGTCTGACATGAGCCAGTATTACAGCATCATTTACTAATGATTGCATTAAAAATAGTGCACATTCGGAGACATTAATTTGTGATGAGGGGTACATACTCCGGTTAGCGACTAGAACAACTTGTCTAAGGCTGCCTGCAGAGATCATGTGGTGCTGCTTCAGAAATATTTAAATTGTTGCATGACAACTTTCTGAGAAGGGTATAGACAGACAAGAATGTGTGAGCAGTGACCAAGGTGGAGAGGGGCTCTGGCTGATGAATTTATTATCAGAACTGTTCTCTATCATCCTACCAAGGCTGCTTTCTGTGTTTTAAACCCTTACCTAGTTAACAAACCTGAACAAGAATGGAACAAATTTAAGGAAGATGAGGAAGTTAAGCTAGAATGAAGGGGTAGGTGGGAAATTCTCCTTTAATTTTTTACTGTTACACAAGGCTAGCCTACCTGGTCTGCCTGTGCTTGCTTCAGTCACTGTAGGCGCCTAGTGAAGGAAACACCATTAAGAAATGAGGTTTTGTGATCTGCAACTGTATGGCAAGATGGCATAAACCCAATGTGCTCCCAAAGCTACTGATCAGCGTGTGTTTAGCACGTTACCTGGAAATCACAAGAACTATCTCAGTCTAGAGCTAAAATGAGAACTGTACTTCCTCTTACTGAACTAAACATGTAGATATTATTCTTTAGCCAACTTATTTTCTGGGTACAGTATTAGAATTGAAGCAAATATACTAGGACAAGCTTCTACACCATGAGCCCCAGCAGCTCATAAGGCTTTTGCCTTCTGCGAATGCATGTGTCCTAAAATCTTCCTTTATTCAGAACCCTACAGTTTTTGTTTAATTTTCATAACAAACTACTACCCTTCCTACAGGTTTCTCATTTCATGTGTTGTCCTGAGAGCTAATATCAATGGAGACGTGGTGTTCTTTCAGGCTGTCTTCTTGAGAAATAAACTTGTAAAAAAACATTTTTTCTTTGGTAAGATAAGCTCTTAAGTCCCTGACCTGTAAAGTTACTTGAAGTAGTCAAGATACCCGACTAAATAAGAACATTGTAAGGAAAAAAATTAATTGTACAGGTGGTCTTTCTCACTGCCTATGCATAGGAGGAATACTTCTTCTCAAAAGTGACTGTTTGCCCATTCTAATTCCAACATGCTGAGGGCAGAAGACTCCATCTGCTTCCCCAAAAAGCTGTAGGGAAGTCTGGTTTAATGTGTGTGCTGTGGAATGCAAGTAAAGTTACCACTAGTGGAAAAACTACTCTGTCATACATGTCAGTGGTTAACAATTGCAGTCAGGACAAGTGGAACGTGTGGAAAACTGCATGAAGAATCTTGAAATACCTGAAATATTAAGATGGTACTAAGTAGCTGCTGCTCTGTGCAGTGGGAGGGATGAATCCCTGGACTGTTGGGGTTCAGGGCATCAACACTGGCAACTGGATCCATAACAAGCATAGTAAGTTCAGCTTAGTTGAAATATGTGATATTTCTATTTCTTATATTTGCATATATAAAACTTGGAAAGCATGTTTTGTATTTACTGTATAGTATCTTGAGGCTTTTTGTTTTAGGTTAAAAAAGAAGTTGGCGACGTTAGCATCCTAGTCAACAATGCTGGTATTGTAACTGGGAAGAGGTTTATTGATTCTCCAGATTCACTTGTGGAAAAAACCATGGAAGTGAACACAATGGCACACTTCTGGGTAATACCTGTACTTTGCATATACATACTAAAATATCCTTTTAATGTGCTTTCAGTGTTAATTTTGCCTTTTGGAATTGAGGAAAATACGCAAGGATATATATAGCTGCTTGTAAGTTCAGTAAGAAATGCTACAAGAAATAATTTTCTATTCCTGGAAGTCTGTAAAATAAAAAAAAAAGGGTGGAATAATGGATCATTTGGGAGCATCTGGGGTAGGTAGGTGGAAGCAAAACTGATTCATATTTAGAAATGCTCTTAAGAACTGAAGTTTACCATCAGCTAAATTCTGAAGCCAGTCATATGTTCTAATCCCTCAATGTTAATTGACATGAAGCAGGCTCAGCCTAAAAGTCGCTGCTCTAGTAGCAGAGGTGTTCAATTCTGTTAGTGTTCTGATTGCTTTGTGGTTATAATTTCAGTAAGAAATACCACATGTTCAGTCAATGCTCTTCATAATAAGTGGGGCATTTGTCCAAAAAAGTGTGCTTTTTCTTCCTTCCAGGGAAAACAGGTCAACTATGTGGTGTTCCTATAAAAGAATTGCAAAGGGGGTATTAAAACATGCTCCCATTTCTTAATAAATAATTTTAATCACAAAGATGAAATGAATTTAATGAAAAGAAGACATGAAATTCAGATTTTTGCCATTTTACAAAATTTGCATTGAACACTTAATTCTCATTTGAAACATTGCAGTGCTGAGCTGAGCTTTAGGCTGGAAAGAAACTTAACAACTAGCTGAAGCTATATCTTTAGCTTTCAGCAAGTTACCATCTGCCTGTGGTGGTGAGGAGAAAGCTGGTACTGTCTTTTGACTGGTCTGCAAAAAAGTGGCCTGAAAAGTCCCAGCTTAGTAGTTGAAGGTTAGAGTTCAAACAACAAACTTGCCCTCCCCTCTCTCCCCTTCCATAATGGAAGAGGGGGAAGCTTATTGAAAATGTTGAGAGAGTTTATTTTAAAAGAACACCTTCAAAAATATTATAGCACTTAGCTTATTTAGTAAAATATTTCATTGCAACTCTGACTTATGTTGCAGACTTACAAAGCCTTCCTCCCAGCGATGATAGCCTCTAACCATGGACACTTGGTTAGTATTGCAAGCTCAGCAGGACTGACCGGAGTCAATGGTCTTTCAGGTAGTATATTACAGCTAATGTTTATTTAGACAATTAGTTTGATTTTAAACTCTGCAATAAATACTCATGGGAAAAAAATGCTAATTTTGAGTTTCTGGGTCTTTATGTGTCGGTAAAGCAAATAGTCCTACTTTCAAACCAGCTGACCTTAAATAGACCATTCCTTTCCAAAGAGTTTTCCAGATGCTCAGCAGTGCTGTGAAACAGGTTTTTCTGCCAAGGCAGTTAGGGGATCTAGGAGGCATACAGAACTTTGGAAACTGAGAACTTCAGTGTTGTTAATGTTAACCTGCAGGTATTTGGTGGGGAAGAGGCCCCTCTTCCTCCCCTCACTCCCCACCCCTCTCTGAGCATGTTCTCAAGCTAAGCAGAGTCACATACAGGTTTCTGTAACTCAGACTACTGCTAAAATCCAGATGTGGTACAGAAGCAGAACTGCAATATCTCCTTTTGCATTCTCTCTCAGCCATTCATTCAAGAGGACCGATACAGTGATGGAAAGAAAGTGGTGAGATTAGGGCAAACTCAGAAGGCATTTCTGGAAAACATGTGCAAAGGGGGAGGAAAATGAAGAAAGGTGACATAGCAGTAGAAGAAATCTAGCTTCAAGGCAGTGATAGTGAAGACAAATTGAGTTTCAAGTTGAAATCACATTAGAGAGTCTTGAAAACTTGAGTTTGATGCATAAGTAGTGCATGGATTCAAAGATCTGGCATGAAAAGATAATTTCATTTGCTACGGTTCAGTAGATAGTGGAAAGGTGATAGCAGGGATGCAATGAGAAACCCTCTGTCTTCCAGTCTAGAACAAGAGTTAATTCAGGAGAGAGAAGGTAAAGGAGTGAATCACATCAAAGGCACATTTAATTAGTAACCTACTCCTGAGAACAGTTCCTGCTCTGTTGTAAAGTATTTTATTATCAGATAGTAATTTCCTGCAGATACAGTGTATGTATCATTTCTATTCTATACTGCTGCAGTTGTATACTGTAAAAAAAAAAAAAAACCACCACACCACCCAAACCAGTGACTAGTTAGTCTCCTTACTAGAGCACAGTTTTGTCCCTGTTCTCTGTCAAAACTGTTACCACTCCTGTGTACATGTTCATTGGTAGGACTCAGTGAGCCTGTTTAGTAGAGATTAATTATTAAATTAAAATGTTTAGCTGCAATTAATGTTTTATTTGTTTTACAGATTACTGTGCAAGTAAATTTGCAGCAGTTGGTTTTGCAGAGTCAGTTGATTTAGAGATGAGAAAGCTGAGAAAGACTGGTGTTAAAACAACAATTGTCTGTCCTTACATCATAAACACAGGAATGTTTGATGGCTGTAGAGCCAAGTGAGTAAACTCTTGTGAGGTTTTGGTGCAACTTGCACATTTAGCATGTTACGTACTCCTTCATGAAAACCATGAGCTAGGCTTTTCTCTGCTTGTGTTATTTTTAGGGCTTCGGATGGGTGTTAACTGTGCTATCCAGTGACTGGGCAACCCAAATGGCAAAGCCCTTGGTGCTTTACTAGTCATTTAAACTGAAACGTGAAATGTAATCGGTGTCCTTTTCTCTGCAGAAGCCAAATGCTCCAGTTGATTTTGAAACCCCCGTACACCTCCTGAAATTAGTGGCAGAGCTTTGCTCAGTATGCTTGTACAATGACAAAATTTAGGAGGCAAATAAAAGCCTAGTGTGTCTTACTATGAGGACTATGTGGATTTGTCTTATGAGAGATCATACAAAGGGAGAATAAGTGGCCACTCTAGCATAACGAAGGTTCTGTTGTTTATAGAATTTGTGATATTTATTGCTTCTTTTACTTGAATAACTGCAAAATGGAGATTTATTTTGAGTAAAATGTGAATCCAAAGCAATTTGTATTCTAGTAAGAAATGTCTTCTCTTCCAGGTGGCCAACTCTGCTTCCCACTCTGGAGCCAGAGTATGTGGCTGAGCAGATAGTCACTGCTATTCGGCGGAACCAAGAAATATTGTTGCTACCACGCAGTCTTTATGTTTTATTTGCTTTTAAAAGGTAAGTTATGTCTTTCCTTCTTTTCTTCTCTCTCTCTTTTCTGTCAGGGATGTTTCGGCTGTGTTTCTGACTAAAAGTGCAAACCAGGCTTCTTCTTGTTGGTGTGAGTTTTCATTAAGTTCTGCACATTTCTGGAATTCTCTTTTTTTGTTTCTAGGGGTTCAGTCTACCCTTGGACCACAGAACAATGACAGAAGTGTCTAACTGTGATTTGCTGAGTTGCAGTTTTACTGGGGGCTGTAGAGATTGGGCCTGTTTCTCAGTAACTGCATATTTGGTGTCTTGTCCCAGCATTAGGGCACTTCTGACTCCGTTGCAAGCCAGGTTGGGAAATTGATCTAATAACTTAGGCTGTTGAATGAGTGTAATGGATATTTTGAGAGGACCAGTGGTACTCTGTTCTAGAGAGTATCCTGTCTTTGCTAGTATTAGCCAGGTAAAGCTAATTCTGTGATAAAACCACACCACTCTTCTGATGTCTGTTCTGGTTTTTTTTTTTTCTCTTCTCTTTCAACTCCTCTACCTTACAGTATCCTACCAGTGAAAGTAAGCGTTCTCCTTGCGGAGTATTTTGGAAACCTCCACATCATGGATAGCTTCAAAGGGCGAGCAAAGGACTGAAAGCACAAAATTCAGAGACCGGCAACTCTAAAGTGGACTTTGTTAAAGGTGGTGGTGGGAAAGGTCTGCTTCTCTAGCAGCTGTGAACTTCAGGTGCCTCGCTTCTCATTAGTAACAATTTTTAAGAAAATCGGTTTTTAATTTACTCAATCAACAGCTTTCACTTGAACTGCTTTTTTTAATCCAGTGAACTGTTTTCTTTTCACCTCATTATGGAAATATATTAATTGAAATTAGTTCCTTTAGTTATGTCTGTTATAAAGCCTTAAATATGATTGTGTGTTACAAACTAATAAATGGCAACTTTGGAGGGAGAAGGGACCAAGAAATCGCATGTATTGGGCAGGGAGCCAAGAAAGCCTCTAGTGAATCTGACTTCTTGCTGCCATTCACTGAACCATGAGGAGAGGAAACAACAGATATAAATTTATACAAATGGAGACTTTGTGAAATTAAAATGTGTTGTGTTGGCACAAAACCAATGAAATATAATAATTTTTGGAGGTGGTGATCTCAGGACTCACAGATGATCTAGATGTCAGGGCAGGGAGGGGGAAGGATGTAAATTATGTATTTGTGCTGCTAATCTACTTTTTCTCTAATTCATTTTAAAAGCTAATGCTATTATTGAAACTTTGTAGTAGAAGTCTTTGTATCTTTGAAGTGCAATATTTTAAGAACAATTTTAAATTTTCATCTCGTAAGCAGAATAAACTTATAGTTATAAAGCATAAGACTGCCCGTCTAGGTGGGCTATCAAACATCTTGCCCCATGACAGTGACCTACTAAAAGCAAAAGTATTGCACTGTATAATCGAGGCTTCTCTTGGGATTATTTCAGAAAGGAATGATGCTGATAGAACTGAAGTGAATGGGATCATTACAGCCATAGCTGGAATAAAGCATTATGTTTTGCTTCTCTGAATTGGGTAGCAGGTTGCCTTGTGTCTACACAAGACTTATTTTGCTTTCCCTCTTAGGACTATCCATTTATTTTGGACATATGCTGGGGAGGCCTTGCACTTTTGACAATGGCTGCTTAGAAAACTGAAAGCCCCCTTGATTTTTGGTAAATCCAAAACAAGAGGAAAAAAAAAAAAGGCAGATTATACCTTAAATGTGTGTTGTTTATGCACATGCTGGCTAAGCCCACCTCATGTCACAACGTGCTAGTGGCACTTGGTAATACCTGCAAACTGAGACTGAAATGTGTTAGCATGCAATTAATTGAAGGACAGTATGGAGAAAAGGGTGATTTTTTTTTTTTAAATGGTGTGGGTTCTTTTTTTTTCCCCATGGTGGCCTAGAAGCTACGTTTTTTTCCCTTGCTTCCCTTGCCTGCAGAATGGTTGTGGTTTAACCCCAGGTGGCAACTCAGCACTGGACAGCCACTCACTCACTCCCCCCTGCCCCACCCCAGTGGGACTGGGGAGAGAGTTGGAAGAGTGAAAGTGAGAAAATTCATGGGTTGAGATAAAGACAGTTTAAGTAAAGCAAAAGCCATGTGCTCGAGCAAAGCAAAACAAGGAATTCAATCACTGCCCGGTCAGCAGGCAGGTGTTCAGCCATCTCCAGGACAGCAGGCCTCTGTCACAAGTAACGGTTACTTGGGAAGACAAAATACCATCACTCCAAAGGTCCCTCCCTTCTTTCTTCTTTCCCCAGCTTTGTGCTGAGCATGATGCTGTATGGTCTGGAAGATCCCTTTGGTCAGTTGGGGTCAGCTGCCCCAGCTGTTGTTATCTCAACCCACTAGTTTTGTCACTTTTCCCCTTCCAGTTCTATTCCTCCCCCAATCCCCCCCATCCTCAGTGAGTCAGTGAGGGGCTGTGTGGTGCTTGTTGCTGACTGGGGTTAAACCACAACAATTAGTGAGGTTTACCAGGGGAGAAAGGCTTACATAGAACTACTTTACTGCTGATGAGCAGGAAACCCTGAGTAAAACAAGCATGTTACAAATAGCTGTACTTTTATGATGGATTGATGAGAATTCAAAATGATGAAGAAAAGATTTGTCTTGCTGTCATTTCAGATCTGCAGCTTTTCTACCTCAGAAATTCTGCTCATGTTACAGTATACTTCAGGAAATGAAAGTTACTAATTAAAAAGCAGATATTGCCTAAATCTGCCGTCCATATGTACATTGCACTGTTCACAAAGTCAACCACTAATAACTCTGTGGTGTATCTGTGTATTGCAGACTCCTTCTAAGAGAGCACATTTTTCTTCCTCACTATGAAATACTAGGTGTTCAGGATTCTGGAGCAAAGGAGAACTGGATTATACATATGAACAGTATGTATCAGACTCCAGCTCTTGTGAGAGCAAATAGCTTTTCATTCTTAGTGTCTTTGCTAACATGTTCTGCTGGGGGAAATTGGAAGCAGTGAGCCTGGCTGTGGGATTTGTGGATTCTCTTCAAGTTTGTCACACCACTAGGAGGATCTTACCTGATCATCTGTGCCAGAGAAGTACACCTCCATATCGATTTTACAACTTCACAGAATCACTGAGCTTGGAAAGGACCTCTACTTGGAGCAAGGTCAGTTAGAGCAGGTTGCTCAGTACTGTGTCCAGTCACATTTTGAGTATCTCTAAGGCTGGAGCCTCTACAACCTCTCTGGGCAACCTCTTCCAGTGTTTATTCACACTCAGTTTAGAAACAAATAAGTGCAAATGATGTTTAAATTGAATGTACTTTCCCGTTTGTGCCTGTTGTCCTTTCAGGGGATATCCATTAGGCTCTGTGTTTTACACTTTCCCATCAGGGATTTATGCACATTGAGCCTGTTCTTTTCTAGACTGAGCAGTCCTGCCTCTCTCAGCCTTTCCTTGTACCTTGTCTTTGCAGCCCTTCACTGCCCTCACTCCAGTATGTTTATACCTTTTAGGGAACAAGTTCTGTAGTAGGTTAAATGTGCATAGTCTGCCATTACGTGCTTCACTAGAAAATCTCTGCCAGCTCCCTGTCCTGGTGGGAGGACACAAATATGGCTTGTATGCAAGTGTGCTGCTACTACTTTGAATATTGTGGTCACTGTCAAATTACTTCTTGGGACTGGAGGATAATAGCCTCTCCTGTTGGTGGTTTTGATCTCCCACATCTCCTGAGATGGCATGGTGGATATGGAGCGTTGTATCCTGGAGAACAAGCAGCACAAATCCTTCCCCTGTGTTCAGGAGGTGGTATGCAGTGAGTGTTTGGATCTTCAAGTGCCATGTGAACTTTGAGATAAAAGTTGGCTTACTTCCAGCATAAAAATGATCTTGATTGATTACTTTCCTGATATCAAGAAGGACACTTTCCTCCTGCTTTCAGCAAGAAAACTACTCGTGGAAGGATTGCTGTGAGACCCAAAGAAGAAGACAGAACATGAAATGGAAGAGTATCTCAGTTGTGACACCCTCATGTCTGACAACAGCAGGGCACTGCTTTCTGAACTAGAGCAGGCAGCTCCCACAAAGGAATTCTTGGTTTCATTACAATTGCTTGAAACCTTAAATGTGTCTAACAAAATGACCAGGTCCCAAATTTCACTGGGATGGCTGCATTGGCTTGACAATCACTGGTACAGTGATTCAAAGGCAGTCCAGAACATGGTATTTCGTTGACTGTTGTGTTTCTTTTCCATGTAAGTTCATATTCCTGTGGCAGCAGAAATCTTACTATCCTATAATGCTTCAAAGCATGGAGAACATAATTTCTCTTGGGACTAACTGGGTCCTCTGAACAAGACTGAGGAAGAAAACAACAGCAACAACAAAATAGCAGCTGAGATTCAGGCTCTGTTATTATTTATGACTTTGGAAATTGTGCCCAAGAGCAACATGCAGCTCCTTGGAAGCTGGTCGTCATGGTGGTCTGCTCTCATTTCAGGAAGGAACCAAGCAGGTACCTCTTTTCTGGTAATTTTTGTAGGGGCGGTTGATCTTCTGAGACACCTGTGTAGACTTCATGCTTTGCTAAGCAGCTGTACAAAGCCATAGGCTTTGTTAAATCTTTTAACAAAATAACTTAGCTGAGTTATTCTTTGCTGTGAGAGTTAGGAGAGAGGTTTGGATCCAGAGCTATGAGGCATTCTAGGAGAATGCAGAACTATTTTCTCTCTGGTGAGACTTGTGGGGTCATTGATGCTTCAGTAGGTGGGGGAGCATTACAGGCAGTGGCTTTTGCCCACTATATGTATAACACACTTTCTCTGTGGTCCTAGGTGTCTCCAGCTTGACAGATCTTTTCTCTGCCTGCCATAGCCACCAAGCTCCCAGCCTGAAGTTGTGTAGATAGCATTTATGTGAGGAAAACAGCTTTGTCTAAGGAAGAGGAGTGAAAAAAACCCTTCACACCTTCTTCCCTTGCCCTCAGCGATAGTCACACCAGGAATGAGTGTCCTCACGATTGGGACACTTGTCCAAGGAAAGGGTATGAGAAGCAAGGCGATATGCTAAGGTGCCTTGCAGTGTTGGGTCTGCTGAGTAGTTATTGCTTCATCAAAACAACCTTGGATTATATGTGTAGCTGTGTTGAGAGAAGTCACCCTTATCCAAGGTGATATGTATCTAAGGCAACATGGTTTTGTAGGACTTGTACTGGGATGGTCTTCCAGACTGACCCATTTTAGGTGGCCAGAGTTACAGTCACACACCAATTAAAAGCAAAGATACTTTGGGGTTTTCATTATCTGAATGCTAAGGACCAATCCATAATCTTTGAGGTGTTAATATAAATATTATTGCAGATAAAATTATATGTATCTAAAAGCATGAGTGAAGGCAGCAGGGAAAGA